TATTGGGACATGTGCCTTAGGGATGACAACACCACAGACCCAGGAAGATAGAATTTATAAGTCTGAACTTTCAGTTGCCCTGGTCAGCATTAGATTCTGATAGGAGTGAGCCAGGGTTCAATTTGCAAGGGAACTAGCCAGAGGTGTGCCTACCTTGGGGATCTAAATTTACACTTTCCATTCATTCAGACAATTGTCCAGACTTCTTTAACCATACTGATTGGATTTGGCCATTGGGCTACAGTTTTTTTGTTTTTTTTTGTTGTTGTTTTTTGTGATACTGTGGATGGAACGAAAGGCCTCATATATGCTAGGCAAGCACTCTACTACTGAGCCACATCCCCAGCCTTCTTTAACCATACTGGAGAATAAATGCAATTAACAGTGACTACCACTGATCAGTTTTTGTTGTTGTTGTTACTGGGGATTGAACCAGGAATGCTCTACCATTGATATAAATCCCCAGTCCTTTTTACTTTATTTTGATTCAAGATCTCTTTAAGTTTCTCAGGCTGGCCTCAAACTTGTGGCTTTGTAACCAATCCAAGCTGAGACTTTCTCAGGAAAATCTTATTTTTTTTTCCCCAGTGCTGGGGATCAAACCTAGGGCCTCCTCTATACTTGGCAAACACTCTATCATGAGATCAGGTGACTGGAAAATCACCCCAGGAAAGTCTCTTGACTCTGGGATACTAATATTTGCCTTACTAAGTTCAAAGTTTCTTTCAACTAGCAAATCAATCAAATGAGAAAAACCTTGCAAAACAAGTTATAATTACAGATCATGGTTGATACTATATAGTATGTGTGACCATGTTCTAATAAACAACAAACTCCAGAGGGCGCTAAATCTCCAGTAACGTGCTCTGAGGCTTACGTGGTCCCCTGACCAGAAATGAATCACCCTAGAACTGCATCACAAGCACAGGAAAGGTTTATTGAAGGCTAATTTAAAGAATCTCAAGTGGATGAATTCATGGGTCTGTTCTTTCAAAAAATGATGAAGATTAAAACCCAAACAAAGATTGCTAATGGTAGGATATGGGGGAGAAGTGGCAGGTGCTACATCTGTCTATGAAGGTGGCATGCAGACAGAGATGAGAAAAACAAGGCCTTCAAAAAGAAATAAAAAGAGGAGCAGAGGAAACTCAAGCAGCTAAAAGCAGGAGCCTCTGGCCATGGATAGAATGAAGAAATACAGCAAAAGTAAGCTGTTCCTTGTGCCTGAGGTGATGACCCTTGGTTTCTTCCTATTTAAACATCTGGATTCTCTTCCATAACATCTTTTGCCACCTATTGCTAGGATGAAGTGTTATCTTAGAACTTGTTGTAAATTTAAGAATAAACTTGTGTTTAAAAAAAGTCTCGCCGGGTGTGGTAGCAAATCCCTGAAATCCCAGCTACTCAGGAGGCTGAAGCAGAAGGATCACAAGTTCAAGGCCAGCCTCAGCAACTTAGTGAGGTCCTCTCAGTGAGACTCTGTCTCAAAATTTAAAATTTTTTTTAAAGGCTGGGGTATGTCTCAGTGTTAAGCACCCGAATCCAATCCCTGGTTTTATATATATCTCGAGCATAGTAGTATAAGTCTGTAATCCCAGCCACTTGGGAGGCTGAAGCAGAAGAATCACAAATTCAAGGCAAGCCTCAGCAACTTAGCAAATTACTGTCTCAAAATAAAAATAAAAAAGAGTTAGTGGTGTAGCTCAGTTGTAGAGCACCAGGTTCGATCCCCAAAATCACACATACACACAAATCCAAGGGCTGGGGGAATACCTCAGCAGTAAAGTACTTGCAAAGTGTGTGTGATGCAAGGTTTTGATTCCTAGCATCAGCACCAAAAAGAAAAGGCGGAAAAAAATCCAAATGAGAAATTCCTGAGAAATGCAAGGTACTATTTATAAAGACAAATGAGAAGACCGGGGTGAAACTGCCTTGTGGTCTAGACTGGAATCCTCAGTATCCTCCTTCAAGGGGCCTCAAGGTTCAATGAATTTTCCTGATTAGAGTTTAATTTCAAGGATTTCTTTCCTAATCAGAAGTGATATAATGAAAGAGTACAGGACCTTAGTAAAGTGTCCCAGAAAATTCTGGGTCTCAGATCCTTTTCTGTAAAATAGGGATAGTAAGAACTCCTCACAGAGGCGTGAGGACTAGATAAGGTGATGTACAGAAAAATGTGGCAGTGACCAAGAGTTGATACTCAGACATCAGCCTCTTAATGCAGCTTCAACTGACATGCCTGAAGAGGTTCCAAAAGTGGAACACTGGAGTCCAAGACACAAGAAGCAAAGGCACACAAATATTCAACTTTTCAAATTTCTGTTCAAACTTCTGTTTCAAACTTTTCTTCAAACTGTCAAGGGATCCCTACAATTTTGAAGCCTACCTGAAACGCAAGGTTTGGCAATTTCAAAAAGCACTGTCCCCGTCTCCAAATCTCGAATTTTGAAGCGAGTGAAATCAATACTGTAGATGTTGTCTTCAGGTTTACACAAGTAATCTAAAAAATGAGAAAGAGACCAATGCTATTAAATAATCATCCAAAACTACCACTTATTTCTCATGTTTTGAAGCAAACCAGGGATTTTTTTTTTTTTTTTTTGTACTGGGATTAACTCAGGGGCACTCAGGGGCGTGACCACTGAGCCTATTTCCAGCCCTATATTGTATTTTATTTAGAGACAGGGTCTCATTGAGTTGCTTAGCAACTTGCCTTTGCTAAGGCTGGCTTTGAACTCCAGATCCTCCTGCCTCAGCCTCCCCAGCCACTGGGATTACAGGCGTACACCATTGTACTTAGCTTAAACTCAGGGATTTTTTCCTACGTAATTTACTTAAAATACTTCCCCAAACATCCTCTTGTATTATCATAAGCAAAAGTTGTATGGACAGAATCAGGAGACCCAATAAAAAAAGAGGACTCAGTTTGGATGAAACTTCTAGGAACAGGGATAGAAAGAATGGTTTTCTTTGGAAACACCTATAACTCTGCCATATCTATCAGCTTGGATACCACAACATTAGAAAAGATTTTTTTAGAAACCATTTTTAGAAAAAAATTTGACAATATTTATACTGCTTTAACAGACAATACAATGCATGTTTGCCAACCATGAGTGTAAGAAGGCAGGGATCAGTAAACTTTCCCGTAAAAGGACACATTATAAATAATTTAGGGTTTATGTTCACATGGACTCTGCCATAACTACTCAACTCTGTACAAAAACATCTATGGACAATAAGCAAATGAAGGAGTATACATCTATTAAAACTGTACCTATGAATACTGACAAATTTTATATAATAAGTTTATGTCACTATATTTTTAAAATATATTTCAACCACTTTAAAAATGTAAAAATTGTTCTCAATTCGTAGACTACACAACATCACACAGTAGGCTATACATACATACAACAGAGTAGGATAAATTGGCAATGACAGCATTAGTCAAAGTGAAGCATAGCCTACAATGACCTGAGGATTTAACCAAGAGTTTTGGTCATAGAAAATTTCATTGATTTGTTTCTACAACTCCTAACAGCATCTTCTCTGCGACTCATTTCAACTCATTACGACTTTATTGTAGATTGCTTGTTATTGTTTCACATTTAATAAGCTGTCTCCAGTAGAATGCAAACTTGAGAGCCACTGATGATTCTCAACTCCCAAACAGGCTGACATTGGTTCTGTACTTTTAGGGGGTACTCAATAAATAACTTGCAAGACAGAACAGATGAGACTCTAAGAAGAGGAACAGAATTCAGAAGTCACCAAGCTCTGACCTGTGACTTTCTCCAAGGAGCAGTAGACACAGGTTTTTGGGCAATGACACCAAAATTCCCAAGCCCCCAAATGGGACCTGTGTGCCCAGTGAATACTGCTTAGGGCCAGGCATTAGAATGACCAAAGTCACCTTTGGTGTCAGGAGCAAATGTGAGGTTAAAGTGATCAGGTGCTGAGCATTTCTGTACTTTTAAAGCCTCAAATGAAGACTTAGAACAAAAGCAGCTTTTCATTGTTTAAATGAAACCAAACAGCCATACTGTAGAGGCATGTAAAGGACAGTTCCAACTCCAACTGTGATAGAAAATGGGGACATCAAAATACCCAAGTTAAAACTATTTAGGGAGTAGAGGATTTCCTTTCATAAGGGATCAAGACCACCTTCTCCAAACTCCCATTCCCAAAACACTGGAGCTCCAGTAGCAACCTGAGGTACTCCTGAGCAGCCCTGAGCTGACCACAGCAATTCAGTGACTACCAGGGCATCCTTCCTGGCAGCAAGGTTACAAGTCTGCTGCGGTGGGGCGGGTGCCATCGCGGTGGACAGGGCAAATGAGGCCTAACCTGGTGACTGTAAACTCCTGGGGGAAACAACAGCAAGGGAAAAGGTGTCAAGTCATAGCTTGGCTTGACAGAGGTGGAGGGAGAGAGGGACAATTCTATTTCTTCCCACTCTTTCTTATACGAATGAAAATACCTTATGCAAAAAAATTTTTTTTGAATTCTGAAATCTTGACAATTCTTAATTCACTGGAAAAAAAAATATCAAGATTAAGATTAACGGGGCTGGAGTTGTGGCTCAGCGACAGAGTGATCTCCTTGCATGTACGAGGCCCTGGGTTCAAGCCTCAGCACCACATAAAAAATAAATAAAGGTATTGTGTCCAACTACAACTAAAAAAAATAATTTTGTTTTTAAAAAAGAGTAAGATTCACATATAGGAATCTGCACATATACTGAAACTTTATTTTTCTGTGGCAGTTTTTAAATTTATATGAAATGCCAAGGAAAAGCCTACCTGCACACAAAGGGGAACGCTTGGGACCTAGAGGAGAAGGGGGGCCACGACAGGCTGGAATGGGGGAAGGGCTGTCAGGGGGCTGGAGAAGAGGGGCAGGAGGAGAAAGCAGGTAGGGGCTCTGGCCTGGCAGAGGACTGAGGAAGCTGGGGGGGGGGTAGACTCATTGCGGGGGAGGGGGGCGGGCTAGGCGGGAATTTCGCTGATGCTGCGGGGTTCCAGGCAAAGGGGACCTCCGCACCTCCGCCCTGGTCGGATAAGAAGGAGCAGCTGAGAAGGAGCGGATAGCTGAACGAAGACCCTTCCTCAACCAGGACAACCCAGGGGGCAGCCTGGTGGCGCTGGACTCGGCCAGACGCGATGAAGCTCAAGGAGAGCCCTTTTCCACCAGGTCTAGGTGAGCGCGGCCAGAGCAGAGGGGAGCGCGGCCTGCATGGCTGTCCGGGCCTGGGCGGACCCCCGCGCGGGCCAAGAGGACCAACCCGCCGGGGGCCCGTCGCGCGAGGAGGGCGAGGCCCTCGCGACACTCACTTTCAGTGACCCCGCTGAGGCGCAAGACGTGCTCAGGGCGGATGGTGTCCAGGGCCAGTAGCTCCTGCTCCGTGACTGCTGCCCCGATGCCGTCGTCGGCCGCGTGGGGGGCCGCCTGCCGCCGCGCTTTGAGCCGGTTCAGGACGCCACCGCCCGATTTCTTCTTCTCCTCCTTGCCAGCCACCAGCCCCCCGGGCCCCGCAGCCGACCCCGCGGCCATAGCCTTGGGGTTCGACCCGTTCATCGCTCCACAGCCAAGATGGCCGCCGCTTCCACAGCGCCGTAACTATGGAGAGCGGGGGCGGGGCCAGGCGGCACCTGGGGGCGGGGCCCTGGAGGCGGGGTCTGCGGGGAGCAGTGAAGACTCTCCAACTTTGGTCCTGTCCGGCGGTGGGTGGGGCCTTAGAACTCCCACACACTCTTTCAGGTCCCCAAAGTCTTCCCAGATGTTTTATATATATATGTGTGTGCATATATAATTTTTGTATATATGTATACACATATATATTACAAGTGAATTTCTGTCTTAGAAACTGTAGATAAAGCATCTTGAGAAAATGTTAATGTTTTTAGTATTGAGTGTAAGTTAAAATGGCGTTTGCTGTGCAAAGAGGCAGCTTCAAGACAAGCTTTCTAACTAGATTGCCATGCCAATCCCTGCTGTGCCTGACCTTGAGCGAGACTGCAGGAACTATAAAGATGAGGGAGTGGATATGCCTTATCATTGTATTCTTGGCAATTAAGCAAATGCCTGACACATGGTAGGTGCACAACGATTGAATAAATGAGTGAAAGCCTGAAGAGTGTCTCACAACACTGTCCATGAAGGAGTCCTCACTTTGTCAAGAAAGACTGTGGCATACTTCCTCTGACAGGCGGGGAAACTCGGAACTAGAAGATAACTGCCTGGCATCGGCTGTAACAGGTGCAACAAAAGTGATACCAGAGCACCCGGAAGTGGTTTATTCTGTCGGGTTGGTGGGGGGGGAGGAGGTGGGTGTCAGGGAAAGGCCTCACAGAGGTGACATTTCTGAGCCTAGGCAGTTAACCACTATTTCATTAGTGGAGGAAGTGGGTAGGAGAGGCTGCCTTCTTATACCCCACGTGGTTCCTTCTCTCAAAACTCTGGATGTACAGGAGGCCTGGACTTGACTCATGTGAAGTGTCTACTAGCCAAACTTGGGCCAGAGTGAAATCCCAATCCTCTGCCAATGACTGGCTTCTAGACCTGACTTACACCGGGATTTGCTGGGTCCCTCTCACTTGATGTAAGGGGCTTGGGAGGGGCTGCCAGGACTCACCTAGTTCCTGGACAAAGTCCAAACCTGACCCCCCTCCTCAGCTGCCCAGTTTAGTGAGACAGTATGTGGCCAACTTCCTAACTTTTGAGAAATTAGCATCAGGTGACACTTACCAAACCCTTCTAGATTTTAATAAATATATAAGAGAAATTAAAACCTTTTCTTTTGTAAATAACTCTTTTTAAACCACTCAACAGTGAGTGGCTACTGAAGAGTTTCCAGAACTTTTAATATGCTATTTGATTGTGAATTGCCAAGAGGGTGGTTTAGCATGCGGTCATTCCCCACAAGCTCACATTTATTTCAGAGCACCAAAACCACAATTACCTGGATCCCAGTTTTTTTCTTTCTAGGGATCATGACAAAAGTACTAAGTCCTTCACCTACAAGTCCAATCCAGGAATTTTGCCTAAGTGTATACAAAAGATGTTTACTGCAGGATTATTTGTTACATTGACAAATTACAAAAGTGGAGCCTATGTTATACAGCTGTTAAAAAGAATGAGACTGATGGGAAGATCTCAGAGATACTGAGAGAAAAGCAAGGCACAGAATCTATTCCTTTAAAATAAAAAGCATGTGAATATGTAGATGTATTTGTAATTGTAAAGGAAGAGGTCTGGATATACATTAAAATGTCAACTTTGATTACCTTTAGGGAGGAGAATACTGGAAGGAACTAAAGAGAATATATTTCCTTTTTACACTATTTAGAGCTACTTCTGTACTTTTTTTATCACAAGCATATGCTCATGGGCTGCTTGTGTAGTTCTTAAAAATGAGAAAGTATCTTAGGTTCTGTATCTAGAAGGCAGACTTTACATCAAAGTAGAATATTTTCTCTTAAAATTTAAAGGCAACCTCAAGGCTGGGGGTGTAGCTCAGAGATAGAGTGCTTGCACAGCATATACAAGGCGATCCTGGGTTTGATCACCAGCACTGCAGGAAGGGAAGGGGGGGGGAAAACTTCAACTGAAAAAAAACACAAAAAACAAAATACTGTCATATGAGGGAGTTGAGGCCTATACTCTCTCTGGTGACTATGACTATGAAGTATGATTAGAAGGATTAGAGTATGTATTTAGAATAGAAAGCATACCAAAAAAAAAAGGTAAAATTGGCTGCCATCCAAGGAGTTGAATGCAGGAAGCTCTCAGGAATGTAAGATCATTCAGAGATGGTCTAGTAATTGACAGACAATATAATCTCTAACAAAATAGTCTGCCCTGAGTCCCTGGTAATTGTTAACCTTCATACCAAGAAGGTCGGGAAAGCATTAAAATCTGCATATGATGTGTATCCAGGCAGACTTCAAGGGGTTTGTGCTGTGAGACCTAAAGTTCTGATAAAATTTTCTAAAACAAAACCGTATCAGCAGGGTCTATGGTGGTTCCATGTGTGCTATGTGTGTTGGTGACAAGTGTGTCTTGACAAGTGTGTTATTGAGGAGCAGAAAATTATTGTGAAGTGTTGAAGGCATAGCAAAGTCAGAAAGTGAAATTTTAAAAATGAAGCTTCTTTGAGTAATAAAAGATCAAAAGGCTAAAAAACACACAACACACACAAAAGAAAAAAAATTTTTCACTTTTTAAAGGGGTAGGAAAAATTAAGAGCTGTTATTGCTTAATTTACCTTTCTTCACCAAATCTTCCTAAGATACGTAAAAAGGCTCTATTTAGTCGTGTGTGGTAGTGCACACCTATAATTCTAGCTGACAGGGAGGCTGAAGCAGGAGGATGGCAAGTTGGAGGCCACCCTGGGCAACTTAGCAAGACTGTCTGAAATAAAAAAGGATAGGGATGTAGTTCAGTGGTACAGTGCCCCTGGTTCAGTTCTCCAGCACTACAAAAATACTCTTTAATTTTTTTTTTTTAATTACATATACCAACAGTCTGGGGAAAAAAGGAAAATAGAACATTACTGCATTAAATAGTAACACCAAGGTTTTCCAGGGCTGGACACAGGAAACCTGAAGCAGTAGGCTGGCCTCCCTTTCACCCCAAATTGGTCCTCTGTCTGAGTCCCTCCAGCCACCATAAAAGGTGTGACAGTCGCTATTTTCCAGGACAGTCCCAGGGTAGCTAGGCAGTCTGCCTCGAATCAGGCCATGCAGGTGGGGCCAGAGATGGTGCAGCCAAGGTAAGCAAGACATCCACAGGGCTTTTCTCTTTGGAGACTGAGAAGTGAAGTCCTTTCTGCTGCCTCCCTAAAAGTGGCATGTATCAAATCAGCAAGTCATGGCTGGGATAGCAGGCACACCTTGTGGTCTGGGACTGAAAGCTAGTAATTTCCCCAATACCCAAATCACTTCACTCCCTGGATAAGGACTGTTTTTTAAAAAGCACTAATTTGGCAACATATACCTATGGTTCCAGCTACTCAAGAGGGCTGAGATAGGAATTCGGAAGTTTGAGGCCAGCCTGGACACCTTAGCAAGAGCCTATCTCAAAATACAATTTAAAAGCTGGGTGCGGTGGTACATGCCTATAATCCCAGTAGCTTGGGAGGCTGAGAGAGGAGGACTGGGAGTTCAATGTCAGCCCCAGCAATTTAGTGAGACCTTGTCTCTAAATAAAATACAAAAAGGGGGGCTAGAGATGTGGTTCAGTGGTTAAGTGCCCCTGAGTTCAATCTCTAGTTCCAAAAAAAAAAAAGGCTGGAGATATACTAGAGCACTTGC